AAATTTTCCAATCAATAATGCTTTAAACTACTAAAATGATATATTATTACATTATGATTTAATTATGGAATAATAATTTTGTTAATTTTTTTGTAATTATTTATATTTATGGTATATACTTCAATTTTAGGAATAATTTTGTATCAAAAATGTGTTTTTGTCCTCTCATCTTGGAAAATATAAGTTTTTGCCACTTTTTGCCAATTTGCTTGGCAAAAACCTGTTTTTGCCAGGACGGTTTTTACCGGTATTTACCATGGTTTTTTCCACCTGCGGCAAAATCTTGCCAACCCTGATTCTAAATATGCAAGTTTTATCTTGCTCATGGTTATGTATTACTTTAAGAGAAGTACATTATTGCCATAAAAAAAAAAAGAAATTGTATTGCTATTCACGCCAAAATAAATGCTGAGTTATGATGTCTACCACATAGTCAATCACAAGAAAGTAGAAGGGGTACAACGAGAAAGATATAATTCGATGCCACCCCCAGACCAACCTTAACATATTTTTTTTTAAAAATATCATTGTCGTCATTGTAATCACATATTAATATTAGTTACTATTTTTTTTAATATAAATTGAAAACTTTTTCACTTTTGTCAATGCAAGTAAATTCAACCAGTTATCCGGAATAGCGATGGTCCCGATCGTTCCGGATAATCGGTTCTCTACTATATATATATATATATATACATACATATATATAAAGTTTAACTAGATCAGTAGCTTAGATCCGTTTAGATAGAGAGCACATCTTTTTTTTCCTCTTTCATATATAAGACAGTTCAAGGGCTGATGAGTCAAAATATTTTGTGGGTCAATTTCGATTTTCAGTTTACAGGCTGTGTCTGTTCTCATGTTGTCTGATTTTATATAAGTTTTTCTGTATAAATCTGAGCAAATTAGTAAGGTGATTGAATTGTTCAATTACTAGTTGACTTGAAAGCTAAATTCCATTTATTTTTATTAAATACTATTTATATTATATATTAATTTGGGAAGTTTCAAAATCTGTTTTATAATGAATTTTTTTTTTCCCTTTCAGACTTTTGGGGGACTGAGTCCGAATACATTATAATGAAGTATTATACCTTTTTTAATGTAAGTTTTTATAAACCTATTTGCATCAATTTACATTTTATTTTCTTATTATTTGCTTGATGAATAAAATGCTTTTGGTTGTGTTGGAAAGAGTAGTTTCTTAACCCTTTGAGCCGTACTCCGAAGGAATTTTTTCAAGAGAAGTTTTACTCCTTTATTAATTTTTGAGGAGTGAAATTTAAAATATAGAAGTGAATTTAAAAGCATAGATTAGGTTTCTAAATTATTCCATTTCATAGCACATATTATATCTATTATAAATTATATAACTGATAAATGTACAAAATGAACTCTCAAGAATTATTGTTTGAATATTTAACCAAAAAACATTAGTTTACTTTATTTCCAATCATTCTTTTACTTTTTATTGGTCAAATAGACTAACGCCTCCAAATGAACAAAGTTTATTAGTAATATATATGGGATTAAAATTCTTTTTCGTTCCCACCATTTTTAACGCTATGCTCGATATTCATGTAGCAATTGGGTTCTTGCTATTCAAGAAGGAGAAGATCACAATAACCACACATGTGACTTATGACACCAACGCCATCCAATCTTTATCAGCAAAATGGTGTATTAAAGTTGAGCTAAGTTCCTCTACATAAGTTAGAATGTTAATTAAATACAGTGTCGTATCATACCTTAAATTAGTTGAAATATAATTCTTTCTCGTTTACTTCTTTTACTTAACTTAGAATTATTATCGATTTATGTATTTTATTGTAACCGTGACATATTTTTGTTTTGTGTACCTGGCAATTTCGATGGATAACTAATTTGTTTATTTTCAACATTGCTTTGTGCCTATTTTTGTGTGAAGTCTTTATGTAAATATGAGTATATAGTGAAAGAATTTAAAATGTGTCACTTAAGGCAATTGATACTTGATGAGCTTGGCTTACTCGATATAAAATGGAAAGAACAGTTGCTAACGTAAACAAATACCACATTTTAACAACCAATTAGTATCCCTACATTTATCTCATTGACACCTTCATTAAACGGGAGTTCTCCACAATACAAATTAAAATGCTCATCTGCAAGCAAAGCTCTTTTTTAGATAACTGTCTATAAAAATGGTAACATCTCTTAGATTGTTTATTGTAGGAGTTCTAACAAGTGTTGACATGAGCCTTCTTTCAAAATAAATATTTATTTTAAGTTATTTTTTTTAAAAGAAGGTAAAACTTTTAAAAGAACCAACTAGTTTTCCTCGAATGAGCAATTAAAATAAATTATTTTAAGATATTCAAATACGCATAATAACTATCTATTTAATATTCTGAGTTTTCTATTAATTGGTATCTTAATTTAATAATACATTATGTATTTTTTGAAACACATTCACATGGAATTAGTTATTATTATTATTTTTATTTATTTTTTAATTTGTTTAAAAAGGTTTTTTAAAGAAATGAAACTTTTTCCGATTGATAAATGTCATTCATTTGTAAACAATTTGAAATTGAACTAAGCAGATCACCTACCAAAGCAACTTAAAGGAAAAACATAGTGGAAAAAAATAAAGATGTGTAATTTAATTTAGGCGCTCTGGTAGGGTAGTCAGTATGACTACCCTACCAGACTCCACTTGTCTATGCCTGGGGATTGCCAGTTTAATCTTCACAGCTGGATAAACAACTGGCATGTATATACGGCATGATGCATATTAAATCAACATTTCTTTTGGACTGGGGTAAAAATTGTGCGGCATTCCTGCTCAGGCCGTCTAAAAATGGGGCTAGGAGCTTGGCCATGGTTGGGTGTTGTGTGTGTATCTTAATTACTTTTTCTTCACAATTTTTATATGATAATGCTGTTTCTTTATGATTTACATATTATATCTTTGTGATTTACATATTACTTTTTGATATTTCATAAAAACTGTTTTTCCATAAGGTCAAATATAAGAAAGACATAAAAACTGCTCGTGAATATTGGAAGGAAATCATTGACCATGGGCACAAAGATCAAGCAAATGTTTGGCTAGATTATGCTAATTTTGAGAGGTAAAAATCTTTAAATTAATGAATCATTACATTATAATTTTTTATTAATTTTTACTATCCTCTATCAATAAAGATCCTTGTCATGGTTTTCAGTATTATATGTGAACTCCTATTATTTTTGTATTTGATTTATGCATTTATTTGTGAAGAAATTGATGCTAGATTGGATGAATTTTGTAAAGATATTTATTTACACATTTATTTTTAATGGTACAGCATATGAATTGTTTTTGTATATTTTTATTCATTTTCCATATGGAGCTTTGGGGAACAAATTCAGAGAAAAGCTGCAGCATGAATGCATGCAGGGTGCTATGCATTCATGTTTATTTTAAAATTTTATTTTAATCTTACTTTATAAATTTAAATGTTTACATTACATGATTGTTTACATTATCATCTTGATGGTACGTTTCGCATTTTAAAAAAATGTTTCAAAATGTGGCCAGAATGATATTGATGAATTCAATTCCTATTGTTTTATAAAGCTATGGTCAGTGTCATATGCTCATTATGAGTGCATGATTTTGGGGTTGTAGTAATTGCTTTAATAATCCACCGAGAGTCTTTAATTAAATAACTATTTTTTATTAAATTTCTTGACACTACCGCTCAGAACAGGCCAAGGCTGTTCCAACAAGTTTCTGTCTGTCAGATGCTTGTTGTCTCTAATTAGCTATTTTCAATGTTTTTAGATTTTTTTTTCTCGATGCTATCAAATTGTTGAATAGAGATATTCCCCATTTTTAGTTTCACTTGGCTTTTGTTGTTGTTTTCGTAAGCCATTAAGGTACTGAGTGGTGCGATTTTTCTTGTTTCTCAGTGGCGCCATCTATGATCAAGAATTCAACATTTGCCACACCCCATTTATAGGGCATCCATTCATTCAGCCATAGACCATCATCAAAATTTTGATCTGAACTAGAGAACGATCAATCTCTAAACCAGTATCCCCAGAGGTATAATTTGTTATGGGGACATGGGGGACTTTGTGACCAGACAGATTTAACATACACCAGTCACCATTTACTACACGGGGAGTCTTCGACCAGGTCGAAATCGGGTTCTCACGAACGTGAGTTCAGCTCCCTAACAACCAGGCTGTCCCGGTCCCCAATTGGCTTCTAGAAGGTCAATGCCTATGTGAGGTTGCAATCTTCTGATTGAAAAAAATGACCAAGATACTTTATTTGGTTTGATTTGATGACTTATACTACTGATTGCAGATCTTTATTATAAGTTTCGTGATTGTAAAGAATTCACAAGAAAGTTCAGTAGTCCTGATCTTAGTTGGTTTCTTAAACCCAAATAGCTTCTGTTTGCCAGCATCTATTGGTGATTAATTTCAACACTCAATTAATTTTTGTTAGCGCCAGTTGTTCTAATGCATTTAAATTCGGCAACTTTCTCAAAGATATGATCATTCACCATCAGTGGGGTACTATCAAAATCTTGATTGGACATGACCATAAATTTTGTTTTGTTGATGCTTAGGCTAGAGGTGAGCTCAAGCTCACTCTTAGATGAAGTCGTACCTCAAAGTATTGTAGTTTGAGTATGAGATATATGTGATTACTTAGAGTCCGAGTCCTCCGGAGTCCAAGATCGGCCTTTGATGTCTAATCAAGAAAATTAGTTATTGAAACCTCTTTTATCACTTAAAAGAAAAAGTAATGAACTTAATTCTTTATAAATTCAGTATGATCAATAATATTAATCTTGTAAATGTTTTTGTTCAATATACTTTTGTAAGTAACTTTTATTTAGATCTAAAAAATATACTCGATAACTTTTTTTAAATAATAGTTTACTAATTATAAATACGAATTCAAATTTAAATAAAGTAATTATTAAATTTAAAAATAGAATGAGCGACTCATTATGAAATATGTTTAAAATTGTGCATAAATTGTTATTATGGTGGAGCTCTTTAAAAAAAAGAGGTCTTTGAAAGAAAAGAGACCTTTGTCAGAAACCAGTTATTATATCATGATCATGTAATGTTTTTGCTTTTTGTTGATGAAAGAACTTTCAACAATAGGAAGAAAAAATTGTTTTATTGCTCACAACCAAATTATTATTTTTTTTAAAAAGTGCTTAAAAGTATTTTTAGAATGCTTGAAAAGTGCTTATTTTTGTTGTTGATATACATATGGATTAATACTTAGCAGTATTTTTGCTTTAATGAAATATGTGTCTCAAAATGTGTTTGAAAGAAAATTCAGTCCAAGTAATTTTTATAAATTGTTTGATAATAACATTTTCACATAAAGGAATACTAATTTTTTTTTATTGAAATAAATGTTTATATATAAAATACTACTGTTAATTTCACTATACTCTAAAATTTGCAATTCTTTTACCATGTTTACAAACCAGTCGCAAAACTGTTTAATTTTTAATTACTTCATTATTTTAAAGAGAGAATGATAATTAAGAAAAAAGAAATGTTTATTAGAACTTTCGAGGACTTCACAATTATCTAACTTCACTATGATTTTAGAATGTAAATTACTAATAGCAGTTAAAAAAATTTTTTTTTCTGAGAAAGAAAATTGTAGTTTATTTATTATCTGAAAATAAATTATTTTCTTTTCAGACTTTATGGAGATGCAGATCATTATCGTAAGACCTTATTACAGGCTTTATCTAGTGTTAATGACTGGCCTGAGACATTTTTAGAATTACTTATCACATTTGAAAGAGAAGAAGGTAAATAAATATACTCTATTGTTTTCTCTCCCTCTTTTTTTTAAATTAAAAGGTTAGAGCCATGGTGGCTCAGGAAATAGAGCATTCGCCTTCCAATAAGGTGAACCGGGTTCGAAACTTAGTGATGGCTGGTTGATAAGAATTCCTAACCCGGCTTGCACCGACCACAGTGCTGATGTAAAGTATCCTCAGTGGTAGACAGTATCATGGTTTAGAGTCCCTGTGCCGTCTAACCATGGGAAGTTTTTGTGGTTTTCTTCTTCATGTAATGCAAATGCAGGTTAGCTCCATAAAAAGTCTTCCACGAAGGCAAATTTCTTCCAATACTTGATCCAGAAGTTCCCTTGTCTTCTGGATTGGGTTCAAAATTACAAGTCTACGGAGTTGAACATTAGTAGTGACGAACCCAAATTTGGGTTGGCTTTTCAAACTTCAATATAATTAAAAGGCTGTCAAAAATTTTGCAAATTAAAATTAAATTATCATTTTTCATTCTCTTCTTTAAATCTCAACTTTTAAAAATATTGCTTTAGGGAAAATTTATTACTGGATTGTGTTTCAGTTGAAAAGTTTTTTCTATTTTTAATTGTATTGTATTTGCGTTAAGTTTCTTATTTTTATGTTTTGAAATTTGATTTCTGTGAAATTATTTACATATGCAGGGTTATTCACAATTTTCTCCATGGATTTAAAAAATTAAAATAAAATTCTCTAAAAAAAAATCTATTTTGGATTTGTTAATGTTTTACAAGAGCAAGAGTACTCTTTGAGATGGAATGGGAATCATCCTTAAAAAGACATAGCTGAAACCCTTTCTTAGCGAATTCTCTTTCAAAAAATTTAAAACTTGAGGTTTAGAGTTCTGGTAAACCTAAAAATAAATCATGAAGTTTCATTTACTGAAGAAATGGATACAAATTATTGCAGGTTAACTTAATCTTGAGTAATCCTGTCAATATGAACATATTAAAACATTAAATAATATGAAATGACAGTGTATTATCAACTAATGGATTTTTTTTGTTAAGTTTTAGTTACCACCTTACCAGAAATTCTACTAGTAAATTGTCACAGATTTGGAATGAAAATTAAAAATTTGATTGTACCAACTGTTTAGTCTGCATAATTTCTATTGAATTTATTTTGTTTGTTTACTGGAAGAAAATGAAGATTTGCTTTTATAAGGGAGATTTCGCACTTTTACGTTAGCTTCCTTATTCTTCTGTACGGAAGCTGACTAAGCACATGCTCGTGTTTATTTTACATGCTACATATCTTTACGTTATGTTGGCATGATTTATGCTACCAAGACAGAGCTGCAAGCACGTTGCTTATAGCTGTTAAATGTTGTTTTCTGTTTAAGCCTTCGAACTAAAAACACGGACATGGATTGCGAATTTGAAGAAATATATTGATGATATTTAGAAATAAATTCTGTGATCTTACAAAAATTGGTTCATTAAATTAAAATTTTTTTTTTATTTGTTTTTGTTTAACATTATGGTTGACTAATTGTACTAAGTTCCATAAGAAACTAGATATATTTTTGCTATTTTAAAATTATAAATTATATTTATATTTTAGTTATAGAATTTAGCTAAAAGAAGTTAAATATCCAATAGAAGTTCAATTATATATTTTTTAAATATTGGTAATAATAATAATAAGCTGCATTCTTTATCGCTGAATTCATCAAAATCTATAATCTACCAAATTTTACTACTCACAGATCTGCAGTTTTACTTAGAATAAAGCATCTTGAATCATATGCCACAGCTTTAAGGAAGTAGTCTACGTCCATTGTAAATGCTTGTTTTGATTCTGTGGTCAAAGTTAAAATCATATTCCACTATGTTAGCATTTTTAACTTACAGATTTTTTCAAAATCTCTTATTTTCACATATGTAAGTTTGATATTTTTTCACGGGCGCATGTGCATTTCACCAGACTTGACAGATGCGCACTAGAAGTGTGCAAATACTTGAAATCTTTCATATGGAAGTGTAAGGAAACTAACTTAAATTTGTGAAATTTCCCTATTATTTCTTTTACTGACTTAATTTAATTGGCTCTGCAACACTATGCAAGAAAAGATGATTCTAAAAACAAAAGTAAATTCGAAAAATTAATAAAAGTAAATTGGTAAATTAAAATGAAAGAAATGTATAACCAAATTCAAATATTACATATGAAAAAAGCTTAAAAATTATCAATTGTAAAAACTCATCTTAAAAAAATTTTTTTTTTAAAGAAGAAGATTAAAAGTTTCATTGTTACAAAAAGTCAAGTAGACAAAACACTCCAAACTTTCTGAAATGTCAAATTTAAAGGGATGTTTTAGAAATTGAAACAAACGATAGAGAAAGGGAACCAAAATGCTAAAAAGAAAATAATAAAGTGATCTATGACATTGAGCAAATGACTGGGTTGGCAACATATTTATTTGATTTAAAATGAATTTATTCAATTTAAATTGAATTTATTCAATTTAAATTGAATTTATTTAAAATTTAAATTAGCTTATTTTTACTTTTGCCACCTGAATCAGTACATATATCAATGGTAATGTAACATAATTTGTAATTCATTAAAAATCTCCTTTTATTTGTTTGTCTTTTTCAAATTTAAAATAAATTTTTTATCATTTTATTTCATTTTTCTTTAAAAAATGATATATTTTTTAATTAAATTTAGATGAAATAAATTTTTTTTACAAAAAATTGGCACTTATATTTATTATTTTATCTGAGATAAAAATTAATCTTTGTTTGAAAAGTTACCTAAATTTGACTTTATTTGGGTGAGGAGACATTATGGTTCACTTGTGTACTTGTTTGATTCTATCTTTCATACATACTTTTAATTATAAAGAAACTGAAAGGACTAGGGGGAAAATATGAGTAAACAGTCTCAAATATGTTTGCCTACATTCTTAGTGCACTACATTTTTCTTTAATATATGAAGAGGATTTAATGAAAATTGCCTAAGTTAGGCTTCAATGGTGCCTGTATATTTGCACTTACTCAACAATCACTTTTTTTGTAGTTTATAGTATGTATCTTACTTCTAGATTGTGTTTTTTTTATTGTTGTTTTTTTATGTTTGAAATGTAGTTTGGCTTATACCAGAAAATATTAAATTGATCTCTTACTGCAAAATAAATGTAATTTTATTTTTAATAAATTCTTTGCACGTTTCCTTGATAAACTTTTTCTAAAAATTATTATGTTAGTATAAAATAAATATTATGTGGTTATTAAGTAAATGCTGTGAAAACTATTCGAAATATTTGAATTTTTATATTATGTTTGGAGGTATGAAAATGTGATCTAGAATTAATTTTTATGCGCATTGAAGAATATTGTTCATAGAAAAAAAAAGCAACAAAAGAAAAATACAGTATGAAATGTTTAATAAATTTTTTTTATGTATAAATAAAAGTGATTAAGCATTCCTACATTGAAATTGACTTAATGGATATACAGGTTACTCTTGATATCTCAAAATTGAAAGGATGCTAAAAGATTTTCGAGATAGGGGGTTTTTGAAATAGTAAATTTGGAACTAATTATGTTCTAAAAAGTAAAAAAATATATTCTAAAATATTACTCCAAAAAGTAGAGTCATGAAACATAAGAATAACTACTAATAAATATGTATGTAATGATAGTTGACTATAACTCTAAATAAAGAAATGATAATTTTATTTTTAAAAAGTAAGGACAAAAATAATTGGGCATTAAATAGAAAATAATTGGTTTACATTGAACTTACATTGTAATTTTTCCAAAAAAATTCATTTTCTATTTCGAAAAAAATTCAACATGATAAAGTTTTAGTAGAAACTCTTCGACATAGGAATTCAAATTAACATTCGGTAGATATATAATGCAAAGGGGAAAAATATTTTTTTGACATTACAAAGTTTTCAAGATATTGAAGCTCGAGATATAGAGAATGTGCTGTAAATATTCTAAATTTGTATGTGAAATGCAGTCATATTTTGTTGAGAAATTGCTTTTTTATTACGATGAATTGTATTTTTTTCCATAATAAAAATTCATAATCGAAATTTTTATAGGAACTTTGGAATCTTTGGAAAAATCTCTGATCAGATGTGAGACATTGATACTATTTTGGATTTGTNTTTTTCTTTAATATTTACAAAAGTTTGACCACTTGAAAGTTGACAAACTGAAAAAATGGGTAGACTCGCCCCGGTTTACGGTATATTCAGTTTAGTAATAATTAATGTTTCCTTTGCTATAAAATTTTTAAATTGAAATCTGAAACTCAAAAAAGTGCTCATAAATATATATATTAAAATTGCTGGAGTCTTACTTATAGTTTCAGCTGGACTATTGAGAATAGTTTGTATCCAGATCAATGCTTCTTGGTTTAGATTATTTGCTAATGTATTAATTTTCTAATGTTTGATTCATTTTGTACTTATTTATTATTTACTTTTTTTATCTGTTTATTTCTTTAATTGTTAAGAAATTATTAAGTCTCAAACATATGCTTTTGTAAAGAAGTAACGCAGTGTTTAAGCAAATATATAGAAAGAATTAGTTGTTACATTCAAGAGATTAAAACTCATTTGTTAAAATTTCTGTAGTATTTTTCATTTCATTTATTAAGTTTAATATTTGTGGTTCATGATTTGATGGAATTTATAAAACCTGAAAATATCTTACTGATGTTATTCAAAGATAAATGTACTACAGCATGTGTCACGGAAGATCAGATCTTCATGTTCTATGACTCAATCTTAATGGTTTGAGAGAGGGTGACTTCAAATATACTAATTAGTGCAGACGATATTTTAAATTGCAAAATCAAATTCAAAAACATACTTCTTCTGAATAAACATACCTTTCTTTTGTTGGATTCAGATTTACGAGATAAGGGGTAGCTGCAATCTGGGAAAAATGGTCCCCATTGCTGGGTCAAGAGAGTGATCCAAAGTTTGTGGGCCCCTTAATGTTAATTTCACTTTTTGCACACAATTATAAAATTAATTTATCCAAAGATGCAAGACATTCTATCCCAAAATAACTTTTAGCAAATATTTATTAGTTTTTAAAATTTTTTATTTAATAATAATCAAAAAGTTTTGAGTTGTATGGTATAAAATTTTTTACATAATTTTTAAAAATGTCATTTTAGGTGGCAAATTACAAAATTTGTGCAAAATTGGATGAATTGTTCTTGAGATATCAAATTTTAAACACACAACTTTTTTAAGCATTACTTAGAAATGCACTCTCTAAATTCTACATTTAATCAGTTGAAGTATAAACAAACTGTGCATTATATTTTACAAACAATGTTAAAATTACTTTTCTAATTTTATACAACTAACAAAATATTGCTATGAAATAATTTGTTACTTTTCTGCTTACTTCATATTTTATTTACAAAACACTATTCTAAAACCCAAAAATGATTTTTCAACAAAAACGTTTCTTTGAAGAAAAATAGAAACGTTTCTTTGAAGAATTTTGGCGACTTGACTTTGAAGACTTTGACTTATTTTGGTTAGATATAGTACAGCAATAGTTTATGTGCTATGCAAAAGTTGAAAGTTGATTTTTAACCAATAATTGAGTGATATAATGATTTTTAACTTAATTATTTTTCTTGTTTCTGACCAATATGCAAATAACGATTCGTAATTAGTGTGTATAAATAATATTAATTTGCAATAATGAATATTTTCATTTAGGTTATAGAAATGACTGAGGAGCTTTGTTTTTGACTTAAGAACAAAACAAAGAGAATAACAACTTAACGTGAGAATAATAACGTAATAAACGTGAATAAACGTGAGAATAACAACTTAATTGCTTGACAGATTTATTAAACAACAAAATTATATGACAACAAAAATAAAATTTTTAGTTGAGGAATAATAGAAATTTAAATAAAATCACTTTTTTTTTTGTACTGTTGAGTATTTGAATAATATAACTTTTTATGTGGAATTTTCATTTATAACATTTCTTTTATTTGTTTTGATTTAAAACAAATTGTTTAAGTTTTATTTGAATAATTTTAATTTATTTTTTAAAAAAAGGAAATTACGTAAGTTTTATTTAAAATATATTACTTTTTGTTCACAAATTCTAAAATTTTATTTTTTAGAAATATATTTTTTTATTGATAAACTGTTTTAAAGCATTTTTTATTTTACAGAAGTTAGAGGAAGCTGCTGCTAGCAATGCAGAGATAGATAATAGAAGAAGACATTCTTCAAAACGACAAACTAAGGTTAGTTAAAGTCTCATATAACCTTTATAACCTCGAATCAATTCAGACCTGAATTGATTCAAATAAATTATTAATAGCTTAGTTTTTCTCTGTTATGTCATTTAACAATATGGTTTATTAATGGAAAAATGCATTTCATAAACTTCTTACCACTTTTTTCCTTTTTCCCCGATACAGATGCTCCTAAGTTCATAAAAATATCACTTTGAACTTTTTTTTAACTAAGATTTTTCATTATGTTTTGTTTATGTGCCAAAATTATTTTGAAGAATTTTTTCCTTTTTCATATTTGTTTATTCCATCCATTAAAACCTTTTTTTATTTAAGTTAAATTCTCCTGAATATGTGAAATGTGCAGGGATGAGATTTTTTCGCTTTTTAGCGGATTTCCACTTTTTTCACTTTTATCTCTTGAATTTCAGCTTTTTTTTTTTAAATCAAAAATTCAGATTTTTCTAAAAAATTAACTTTTTTTTATAAGTATTCCGCTTTTTCAGAAAATTCAGCGATTTTCAAAGAGAAACAGAAAATTCAAATTGCATAGCTACAAATCCTTTCTCATTTTTACTTATTTTAGCTATTTTCTCCCCTTTTACTCGCAGCAGATAAGATTTTCCGTATTTTTTACCCGCCCTCCAGATAGATCCGATTTTTGTAGTTCAAAAGACGCTGCTTCTGACAAGCATTTTAGAGGTCCCAACCCTGGAATCTGCTAACATATCTCGATTCTTATTCACACGATTTTAATATCAAACATAGCTTTTCATATTTGCGTGTTGCGATTCTTATTCATGCGATTTGAATATTGTACGTTGCGATTCTTATTTACGAGATTTAAAAATCAAATATTGTGATTCGTATTTATGCCTTTTTAAAAACCTATGTAGTGATTCGTATTCACGCAAGTTTAAAATTCAATGTCTTGATTTGCTCATGCAGTTTATAATATCAAACATTGATTTTTGTATTTATACGTGATTTTAAAATAAGGCATTGGGATTCACATTCACCCATTCTAAAAATTATTCGTCATAATTCTTATTATTTATGCAATCTAAAAATTACGCATCATGATTTGTATTTACGTGATCTAAAAATTATGAATTGTGATTTGTATTTACGCGTTTTAAAAATTCTATATCCCAGTTTGTATTTTCTCATTTTCAAAATCGTAAATCGAGGTTCATATTCATGTGATTTCAAAATCCATAATTGTTATTCATATTCACGCAATTTTAAGATCAACTATCGCGATTCTTGTAAGAAGTAAAATTTTTTTAAAATTAGTTACTATGAAGGTGACTGTTTTTCTAACGACGATTATTAGTATATGTAAGTGTTACATCATTAGAGAAAGCAATGAACATATTCAAAACTTTCATTCTGTGCTTGCAAAGAAAAAATAAGATTTGTCACAAGATGTTTGAAGATGGACTAACGACTAAATATAGCAAACATAAAAGATACGGCAAACAAAAGCAATTACTTAAAAAAGGATTTAATTTAAATTTTTTTTTTTGGAAAAAGAGTTAATTAACTCATCATCAAAATTTTATTTAATTGCTGTTATTTATGCTATAAAATGCAAAATTCTTATCAAATAAAAAACAATTATCTGAACAGTTGCTGATTGTTATGTAATTTTTCAAACTAAAATAGCAATTTTTGTATGTTAAGGAGTTACTATATATTTCTACTTCACCGTTATTGATATGTTTCAAAGGGCTCTAGTTAGATTAGACCAGTGGTTCCCAACCTGGGGGCGATCGCGCTTCTCAAGGGGGCGATAATTCTTAGGGGGGCGATCAGGGGGCGACGAGTACTCAAAAGATAAAAATTGCCAATAATATTAATAAAAGCTATTTGAGAATGAAATTGAAAATATATATGAAACCTATGGTTCTGGTGTAGACAAAGAATTATAATAGTTAAAAATTAAAAAAAATTCAAGAGCAGGATCGTTTTTTTCATACGTTTTGGTATCGCAGGCGGAAATCTGACAAGTCCTCTGGGCAATAATACTGTTTTCAGGCGTATTGATGAGATGGCCGCCGACGTTGAATCAAAACTCATCAAATTTCTNATGGCTAATGCTGAAGTCATGCGAGAAAATCTTTTTCCGAACATTTCTGCCAAACGGAATAATTAAAATTTGTAGACAAATTTTAGTATCAGCGGCTAAATTAATACCTTGGAGTTTTCAAGAGTTAAAATAGTAATTTTAATAGTTTTCAGTAGCACAAATAGTTCCGAAGTTCTTAGAGATTTGATTGAGCGTTGTTTGACAAGATCGGGCATAAACATAATTTTAGTAAAAAATGTACTAGGTGAAATTTTTTTTAGTAAAAAAATGTATTAAGACAAAAATGTATTATTAGTGAGGAAAATTGAAAAACGTAATAACAAAATCCAACATTTTTTATTTAAAATGTATTAAACAAATGCATAAAACTCGAAAATGAATAAAAATGACTCCCTAATTAATATTTTTATTCATTTTGCAAAATAATTGCATTTTGACAGCAATTTTTTTTTTGGAAAGCTTACCGAGTTTTAGAAAAAAGTAACGATTTCATTCGACATATCCGTTACAAATACTTGTACTTTTTCCCAAAAAAAGTAACGAAAGTACAAGTAAAAGTACTAAATTTAAAAAGTAACGAAGTACAAGTAAAAGTACGTACTTTTTACTTGTACCGACTGTACAAGTAACGAAAGTAAAAGTACCGCCATATATGGTAATAAGTAGAACAATCCTGCTAACTGACTGAATCTGGGTGGGCTTCAAGCTGCCACTGGGGATTAAATCCCATTTCTTCACTATGACAATTCAGTGCCTTAACTATTTTAGTAGAACCTCCCTAAAACAAAGTTTTTCCTTGACAGAAGTTTTAATAACTCGGTCCACATTTGTGGACCTTTGCTTCTTAACTTCTAAAAACACTCTATAAGAAAATTTATAGTTTTACCCTCACCGAAACATTCGTGGATGTTTAGGCTTTCTTCGAATTCCAATAAATGTCGAACATGTTTGTTATTTAGGTAGAATTCCTCATAAACAGATGCGTTTTTTTTAAAAAAAGAAAAGACGCTAAATCTGGGTTCTCAAAAACTTAAGTAATTTTAAATATTATATAATATAGTTATTCTGAAAATGATCGATTTAGTACTTCTGTAATCATATGAAGCTTTTAAATTTATATATGCTTAATATTTAAAAACGATACAGTCAAGAACATGAACGTCTACGTATGTGTACCTCGGTACATATGGCAAAATTTATAACAACGTAGTAGTCAAATGAAATCTTATAGTATCATGAATATTTAATTTTATGTCTATTCAGTAATATTTTTATGTGTATTTTAATTAATTGTTGTATATTAATGTACACACGTACAGTTTAATAATTTTAACTTTTTGTGTTCTTATCCATAATTTTGATATATTACCCCCAAAAATTAAATATTTTTTTATAATTAGTATTAGATTCTTTTTAATAATTATTTATTTTGTATGGTTTGCATAATTAAAATAGCTTTGAGACTGAGATTTAATGTAGTGTTGCATTGTACTTGGGTAATATTTTTTTTCTAAATAATTATTAAATATATTCATCATTGTATTTAAATCGACCATAATATAACAATATGCATGTTTGTTCCTACTTTAGGTGCGATTTAACATTTGAAATATTTATATTCTTTTAATCCTGAAGTCCATGTATGCATCCTAAAATTATGAGCCCCCTGGCAGTATAATTCATATTTTGTATATCTTGTTATGACTTATGGTAGTAAAATAGAAATTCGAAACTGTAAAATACTTTTTTGATATATTCCTTTGTACTTTATAAGTGAAGAAGATAATCAAAATGTTACACAATAACATATTCTTGACATATGTAAGAAAGTGGTTTTCTCCCCAAATTTTTTTTCTCCAGATTTTTATCTTCGATTATCTTAATTTTATGAATTTTTCAGGTGTTTAGTTTTTTGATTTTTGTTAGTTGTGACTGAAGTCGGAACTTCTCTGCACCCAATTTGTTCTCATATGTAGCTGTTTCTAAAATGACTTGCATCATTTATGTAAGAAATGACACATAAGGAGTCATTTAAATATTACCTAAGCATAATTTTGGCAAATGACTTGCATCATTTATTTAAGAAATGACACATAAGGGGCCTTTTAAATATTGCCTAAGCATAATTTTGGCAAATGACTTGCATCATTCATTCATTTCAGAAATGACACATAAGGGGCCTTTTAAATAATTTTGTAAAAAAATAAAAAAAGTTTTTTTTTTTGTTAAATTTTTTTGTAATTGTTTTTAGAACGTTTGGAAAAACTAGGGATTTTAATGTCTTGCATAAGCATTGCTTGTACTTTTGCTCCCTTCTCAGCAAAAATAAGTAAATTTAAAACTCCATTCCTTGCAAATTGCTGATATAATATTTAAACTGCCGCAACAATACATTTCTGTGTAAATGTAAATCATTCATATCAAACTTTTTTTCCAAAATTGTCTTAATTTCTTTTAAATTAAAAATCACAATTATATGTTTTTAAGCTCATATACCAAATAGAAATTTTGTAGTGTGTATTTTCAGAGCTGCTAAAATCTCTCACCTCTGTATAATTAAATTTATTCTATAGTGAATAATTCAACTGATATCAATTTTTTCTGAATTTTCTGACTGAAAAAAAATGACTGAAATATTTTTCTTCCAAAACTAGAGATATAAATTTTTGCAACTAGACTCAATAACAATCAATCTTTGAATTGACAGTAACAACAAGTAGTTAATAATATTTTAAATTAAAAAATTCTAACATCTGTTAGAATTATTACTTGTAAGCATTCTATTGCAATTAGGCAAAATATTGAGATATAATTTGCTCCAAATAGTAAAAAAAAATTCAGTTCTTTTTCTCAGATTTATTCCTAGATTTATTTATTTAGATTTTCCTAAAAAGGGTATTTTTTATGAGGAATTACTAAGTTTAATAAAACATTTAATTGCAACTAGGCAAAATATTCAGATAATTTGCTCAAAATAGAAGAAAAATTCAGTTCTTTTTTTTACACATTTATTCCTAGATTTATTTTTTTTGGATTTGCATAAAAAGATATTTTCTTATAAGAAATTACTGTGATTAATAAAAATGTTCTGTGAAATAAAATATTTTTTGAAAACCTGGATTAGTCAACATTGTTTAGATTTTATAGTTTTATATTTGATATGGAATTTTATTATACAAATGTTGGTATTATTTTGTATTTTTTGTATTGCTATTATTGATGAAACAAATAATACTTTTTATTTCTTTATTCTTAAAACATTGATCTGCAATTCAGAATTCCAGTTAACTAAGAAAAAATGGAAAGCTTTTCATTCTTTTACAGTCTATACAATACAATATAATTATTATTTATTAGTACAATCAGTACAATATAATATAGTATAAATATTATTAAAATGATTTATTATTGTTTTTTTAAAAAAAATTCTTTTAATAAAATGTAAATTAATAGAGTGTATTTTTTAATTTCATGATAAATGTGTTAAACTAATTTGTAAAAAATGAGATTAGTCTGTGTTTTCAGAAATAAAAGAACAGCAGATATTTTTGTTTAAAACCTATCTTCATAGTTTCGTCTCTAAATTAAATAAGCCACTAACATTTATATATCTCAGTAAACAACTTGAAGAATGAAGAAAAAAATTTAAATTTATCAATGAACGCTTTAATTTTAGATTAGGTTTTTGTATTATACTTGATGAAATAGACAGAAAAAGGTTTAATTTTTTTATTTTTGTTATTTTTTATTCAGAATGTTAACACATAGATAAAGATCTATGATGGTATTTTAGATAATTACCTTGTTTTTGTGTTTTTACATTTTTTACTGTTACGACACTATAAAATTTATTTCAATGTATTTTTTATTTTAAATCATTATTTTGGAAGAAGTATAAAAAAGGGAACATCTTCTCAAATTGGTGTTATTTTTTTTAAACTGGTGCAAGCATGAGGAAACACCTTTTAATAAATACTAATCTCAGTTATCTTAGCAACCCAAGAATTTGATTAAAATTTCTTTTAAACAGTGATTTATTTGACAACTATTTAGTGTTTCTTTAAACAGATATATTTTATAATAATCTATTGAATCTTTATGAAATTTTAGAAACTCCTGAATCTCACGGTTCTTTAACTACTCACGATACCTTAAAAGACAGCAGAACAGTATTTGCTAGTAATTTATCTTTCAAAATAGAAGAAGAAAGAATAAAGGAATTTTTTTCTCAAGTAAGCGCCTTCTTTGCTTTGTAGCTTTCTGTTAATATTCTATTTCTTTCTACTCTATATTACAGCTGTCACGTTCTAGTTTTCAACATTATGTTTCAGAAATGTTATGATAAAGGTTTTTATTGGTTTAAAATACCCATGTTAGTTTAGATAAAGGAATGGAATAGGATTTAATGAGCTTCATTTCTATTTTTTTTTATTGATGTTAAATGTGTCACTAAAATAGGGATGCTTGAAAATATCTTTAAATAAGTACTGTAGAAAGGAACATTTCAAGGGTGGCAATGAATTTAGTTTATATAAATTGAAATTGTTCCTAAGTGTAAGAAAAATGATACTAAATTATCTTAAATTTAAAGAAAAATTATTTAGAATATTGATGATATTTAAAGTTTTACACATTTTGTCTTTTTAAATAAAATTAAATGTTCTGAGTTGTTCAAACAACAATTGTTCAACAAAACAAATGTTCTTCAGTTTTATCTGAAGACAAATTTATTATTATCTTTTTTACTGTAAACAAATTACCTACATATTTACATTTGAAATGATTCTTTATACTATATTTGTTTGGAACATATTTTGATTAAAACTATTTTATAAAAAAAAAAAAAAAATTGAACTTGTATCCTGAATTAATATCACTACCTTTTTCAATTTTAGGTTACAATTTTGATATTTTTTCAATGTTTACTAAAATTAGATTGAAAAATAGTTATAAATTTTAGTTGTACATTTTATTCCAATTCCATTTTGGCTAGCAGGTAGGGAGATCAGCAAGTGTATTTTGTTTCTTTTCTGGCTGTTGTGCACTCCTACAATGTATGTAATAAATAATTATTGTGATAGCAGTTTGTTTAAAAAATACATAATGTATGACAAAACTCGCATTGGCTCAGGGGATAGAGCATCCATTCTAATGACTTGAGCCTGGTTCGAATCGCAGTTAGGATTTGCAATTATGAATTATGCTCCCATCTAACACTAACCACTCTCCTGACATAAAAGATCCTCAGTGGTTTGAATCTTTTTGCTGTTTGGGTAACTGTGGGAGATTTTCTTCTCTGCATGATGCAAATGTGGGCGACTTTCATCAAAAAGTAAGTCATCCACAAGGCTAGTTTGTCCCAATGCTTGATCCATAAGTTCCCTTGTCTTTTGAGTTAGGTGCAAAATTGCAAGTCTACAGCATCAAACATTAATAGTCACAAACCCAAAAATGGGTTGGTTCTTTAGTATTGGTTATAAAAACAAAATAAAATGTTTTGGCAAGTAAGAGACAGAACATTAATGAAGAAAAAAATTAGTATAGTTTGCTTATTTAAAGAACTCCCCTTGCCATTTTTCTAGAGTAATGGCGGTTGCTATGGTTACAATGATTAACTATTTCAAGTAGACGTTGGTTCATTATTTAAAGCAGGCTTTGGCTCAGGACGGTGATAGAAAGGGAATCAAGGGAGAAAGAAGCTCCTCTCTATGAAATGTGCTATTTCTTGTTTCTTATTCATTTTTAGACTTTGTAGCGAGAGGAGTTCTTTCTATAAACAAACTATAAATCAGTAAGTGAGGTATAAATTTGTTAGTAAATAAAAAATATATTACCCCTTTAGTGTCCACAATTTTCGTTCATTTTACTTCTTATTTTTTCTCTATAAAGGTGCATTAAAATATTATTTTTAATTATATGTGATATTTTTTCTTTGCAGATGGGCGAGGTTGAAGAAGTTAGATTAGTTAAAGATTATAAAGGCAGATCAAAAGGCTTTTGTTATGTTCTTTATAAAACTCAAGTAAGGAAAAATCTGCTTTTTATTTAATGTGTTGCTTCTTATTCTTTTTTATGTGTCTTATTCATTCTCTCATTAGGTATTCGATAATTTTATATCATCAGTGGCGTATTGGATTGAAAAAGAGTATCGGAGATAAAGTTTGACTGGCTCATTATTTGATTATCCTCTACCTTTGCTGTATCATATTAGTGGGAAATATGGCTGATTCAAATGGAGGACCTATAAATTAAAATTAAATTAAATTAAATTAAATTTGAATTAAATTAAAATAGAATTAAATTTAAATTAATTTTGAAATAAAATTAAAATTAAATTTAACTAAATTTAAAATAAAGTAAAATTAAATTAAAATTAGCTCTAACAAAATATAACAAAAATTGCAGTTTAATAAATATCGGGTTGTTCGGAAAGTAAATTAGTTTTTCCGATTGAGGATTTAATTGTATTTTTTCAAACCCAATTTCACACTTAAGCCGCATTATCATATGTTTTAAGAGCTGATATAGCAAGGCTTGTGTAACAACACGTGAGATCGGTGAGAGGTTAAATTTATCGAATTCAACTGTTTATAGCCACTTGAAAGGCCTGGGTTTAACCTCGAAGCTTGATATATGGGTTCCCCATGTTCTCATGGAGAGAAATTTGTATCATCGCTTTGACGTCTGTGAATTGCTTCTCAAACGCTACGAAAATGATCCGTTTTTGAAGCGCATCATTACTGGGGATGAAAAATGGGTTGTTTATAACAATGTCAAACGCAAGAGATCATGGAGCAAAAAAGATGAACCGGCTCAAAGCGTTTTGAAAGCCAATATCCATCAAAAAAAGGTGATGCTGTCTGTTTGGTGGGATTTTAAAGGAATACTTTTGATCTTTTACTGGATAACACAAGGAAGTCTACTGTCGTCAGCTGGACAAACTGAAGGAGGCACTTCAACAGAAAAGGTCAGAATTAATGAACAGAAAAGGTATAGTGTTCCATCAAGATAATGTGAGACCTCATACAAGTTTGGTCACTCGCCAAAAGCTTTTACAGCTTGAATGGGATATACTACCACACCCACCATATTCCCCAGATCTGGCACATTTGGATTATTATTTGTTCCGGTCACTACAAAATTTTTTGGACTGTAAAACCTTTACTTCAAATGAAGATGTCAAAAATCACCTGGATCAGTATTTTGCCAGCAAAGACCAAAATTTTTATGAGCGTGGAATCATGCTACTACCAGAAAGATGACAAAAGGTGTTGGACCAGAATGGCCAATATATAATTTAATGAAATATTTATTCATTATACAAAAATTGTCTTTCGTTTCCCCCCCAAAAAACGAAATTACTTTCCGAGCAACCAAATAGTTTCTATACTTCAACTGCCAATATTTTCCGATTCATTTATTTGTTTCAAAATTACAGAATATAGAATAAATTAAACGTGTCTTTGAAAATGGTAAAAGTGAATAAAATCTGTTTTTTGTGTCATACGAGCCAAAGTTTGAATGATAATATCAAAATTGCATACAGACATCTAAATTATATCTAAATAAGATACAAAGAATAAATAAGATATGAAAAATAAATGTTGTTGTCGTCGGCCATTAAGTCAGAGGGATGCAATTGTTCTTGTTTTCCAATGGCGCCATCTATGGCCAAGAATTCGACTTCTGCCACATCTGTTTATAGGGCAGACTCATTCATACATCCATTCACAAATAGTAATTTTGGCCTAAGCCAGAGAACGATCAATCTCCTATTCAGTAATCCCAGAGGTATTAATTTGTTATGGGAACATGGGGAACTTATTGACTCAACAGATTTAACGTGCACCGGTCACCATTTACTACATTGGGAACCTTCGGCAGGCTGAATTCGAACTCCCATTCATACTCGTGAGTTCAGCGCTCTCAGCCAACCAGGCTATCCTGGGCATGAAAAATAATTAAAATCTCATTATAGTTTTTTTTGGCTATGAACAAGATTGATTATTTTGACGTACGAAATTTTTTACTTGTATGAAAGAAAGAAAGGAATAAGCAAATATTGTTATTCTATTTTTTTTACTCAATGTAACTGATAGGTTTTTATTTCTTTAACTTAATCTGTAATCTTTATAATGCAAAGTGTAATGTTATAGTGTAATTAACTTAATCTGTTTATCTAAGTGGAAGAAACTATTTTCAATGAAGAAATATGAAAATTAAAATTTTAGACATTTTATAAATTCAATCTACTTTAAGTAATATTTTTATTTCCCAATCATTTAATAAATGATTTTTAAGAAAGCAAAAATTGGAAAGGGAAATAAATGTTGTGAATTTCTTAAGGAACTAAAACAGTTGTAATTTCTTTCCCTTTTTCACTTATAGGAGTATAGAACTTTATTTTATAATTATAAAAAGAGCTTTTAAAATGCTAAAATCAAATTATATATTATTGTATCATACTTACAAGTTACACATTGAGTGCATAATTACAAATAGGATGCCAATTTTCATAACCAAATGCTATTAAATATGAATACTGAAAACAATTCTTAGATAATATGCTAAATGTACTTATAAAAGGATATATTTAATGTGGATTTTACTTATACATACTTAATCATAAAATTACAATTTAATTATAATTTATAAAATAAATTTAAGAATTGTTTAACTAAATTACTAGACTTTCAATTTTAATCACTAAATTTTAGAAATAATTAAATTTTCATAAATGCAAATCAATAATTAATTTTATATAATTTTAAAAAGCTTTATTAAGTGGAAAACAACTTAAAAGCTTTTATAATAATAGAGCAGGGAATCGAAAAAAAACAATTAATTACCTTTTTAGTTATGGAATATTTATTTTAAAAAATAGAACTTGAAAAGTTTTGAATATAAATGTTATAGTTAAGTTTTTTAAATTTTTTTTGTTGATAGTTTCAAAGTATTTTCTTCGGATTTACTATAATATCATAGATTTAAAGAGAAATGAATAAATGACTTAAATGAATAAATCTTTTTAAGAAAAAGGAAAATTAATTAAAAACATAATTAGTATCTAAAATTACTTAAAGATAAATTTGCCTTAAAAAATTGCAAATAAAAGAAAATTGTAACCCATTGAAAAATGTTTTTATAAAGTAGTAATTTTTAAATTAATATTTAACTAAGTATTTTTTTTCTTTTTAGATTATTCTATTTTTAAGCAGAATATTCATTAAACTGAAAATAATGTAAGCACATATTTATTTAGATTTAAATGCACATCTCTNAAGATAAATTTGCCTTAAAAAATTTTACAAATAAAAAAAAATTGTAGCCCATTGAAAAATGCTTTTATAAAGTAGTAATTTTTAAATATTAATATTTAACTAAGTATTTATTTTCTTTTTAGATTATTCTATTTTTAAACAGAATATTTATTAAACTGAAAATAATGTAAGCTACTTTTTTAATGTTTTTGACAATAACTCTTTAAATACAGAAATTTCAGAGAAAAAAAATTGAGAAATTCGAAAGATGCAAAATGAATTAAAAAAGATCATTACTGAACATAAAATAAAATTATACATTTATTATTTAGTTTGAAAATGTGCCGTTTGTGCACTTTTCTTAAAATTAAAATCTGTGAAAGAAAAGAGAATTTTTGAAACATACGTTTACATACGTTTCTAACATTACATACGTTTCTAACAAAGTTTTCATTAAATGTTAATTATTATAAGTAATATGTGGTTGATTGAAGCATAGAAAGGTAAAATATTTTTATGATTGTCCACATACCATAACTACCTTTATTAAAAAAGGTATTTTTTATTTTTCAGTTTACTTCAAATTTCTAATAGGTGACCTATGTGTTTCATATTTTTATTATGTAAATCATGCAATACTTAATATATTTGAATTTTCAGGTTGAGGCTAAAAATGCTTTGTCTAAAGATCGTGAACCTTTAGATGGCCGGCCAGTTTACATATCTACTTGTGAGGATAAAAAAAACAATCCTTCATTCCAGTCAAAATTCAAGGTTAGTGGGTTACTTGATTTTTTTTTTTAGTTTTAGCTCAATTATGGTAAAACTTAGTAGAAGATCGTGTTAATTAACATTTAAAAAATTTAATCTCAAAATGTTGAGTGTTATCTGAGTCCAGAATATTTTTTAAAAAGAGTTTTTAAATTGGATTTCGGATGAATAAATTCAATTTATGTTCTATACTCACTACCCGCTATAAGGTTCATTTTTAGATATTGTCTTTGGGTAAAAAATTTAAATTTACCGGGACAATAGGAAATGACTACCAGAGTGACCATTAAAAGATTCAAACCTTCTGGTGGTCAAGTGTTTTGCTGCATTTAAAGGAATGCAGCTCTAAATGTTACTTTTTATGTGCATGATCACCAGACCGGAAGTTTAACAAGTGACATAGAAAATGCTACTTGTTCTCCTACTAAGTTATTTGCCTACATTTAAAAAATTAAAAAAAAAAACTTTACAAAAATAATATTTAATTCATTTGCAATAAAATATTAATATGTATTTATTGTGCCATTTATTTTAGTTTGGAACTGGTTTAGAGAGAAACAAACTTTTCCTTAAAAACTTGCCTCCTACCACAACTAAAGACGACTTAGAGAATATGTATAAAGAAGTAAGGGGATCCTTCATTTCATTTTTAAAAATCTATATTAATGCTCTAATTGAGGCAAAATGAGTTAATATATTTAGATTGATTTAAATTTTAAACCTCAATTTATAAAATATGCATATTTTATAAACAATGCAAATTTTGCAGCATATGATTGTATTTCATGATTGACACCTATTATATAATAAAAATCAATGGTTTGACCGATACAGAGTGTCCCAAAAGTATGGAAACATTAAAATATCTCGCTTTATCTTGCTTAAAATCTAAAAATATGAAAGATTTTCTAAGGAGGCAATCAGTGTCGATAAACTTGATCCCTCTAAAAGCTTGGAGTTTGTTGGATCAGGGTCCAGTACCCAGTAAGCAGGCGGGGGTTAATGTTGTAAATTAGGTTTTTCAATTATCAAACATGTTTATTTTAATTTTTTGACCTGGAATGTATTTCTTGCGGCATCTGTATTTAAACAATTAGTATTCCATTTTCATTTTGGAATTACTGTGTCATTTGTTAGCCAAAATGCAATTTCGGAAAATCTAAAGCTGAGGGTTCCTATTTCGGAATTTTGAGTTGACCTCCCAACCCTAGGTGTTGGAGATTTGGGGAGTCCAGTTTGGTATCATTGAATCATCTTTGAAAAATTTAGTCGAACTTTGATCAATTAGTTTTTCCTCTTTCGTTTCTGCATCTATATTGTCTAGATTTATCATTACTGGCATAAATATTTTTGCAATGTTAATAATACCTGTTTTTTTTCAAATTTAGAAGATTTTTGCATCTATTGCCCCAGAAATTTTACTAATATTTGAATAAACATGTTACATTTTTTCATTTTGGGAAGAAAAAGAGTAACTTCCATGATTGATCTTTAATCATTAGTTGAAACTGGCGATGAAGTTCACAGAACCCCTAAAGCAATGAGAAACATTCCGCATTCACACTAATTTACAGAAAAAAGAACATCAGTGCGTCGCAATTGTCGAAAATGTTTTGTTCGCGTTGATAAGAAAAGAGAGTCTTTAAACTAAAATTTCTATGTATTTTAAATAAATAAATGCGTTATTTTTACATAGTAAATATTTTTGCATTAATTACATAAACACATAGTTTTTTCAAGTAAATTTTTGTACTTATTGTAAATTTATTTGAGTTAACTTCTTAATTATTTTTCACGTCATTATTATATGTTTTATGCCTAACTGTATTTGGTTTTTTTCCCCTTATCTATCTCCTGAGAAAATCATAGTCTCATGAGAACAGATAAATCGAAAATTACAAATATATTTTGAGATTTTTAATCCAAACGTATTTTTCCTAATATTTGACAATTTCCATATGTTTTGGACAACTTGAGTATTTTATATCTAAAATGGAGCATTTATAAACTATATCACAGCATTACAGACTAATAAAATTTTGCATTATCTTCATTTCATTCATTTCTATTGTTAACTGCAAGCGTTTTCATTGAGTATTTTATATTTTCATTAACTTGTGTTTCTTTATAATACTTTTTTTTAAATAAAAAATATGATTGAGCAGTTTTAAGAGTTCAACTGGTGAGAAATAAGTTTAAAGGGTAATTTGTTCTCTTTTTTTTATACAAATAATTAATTTTCTATATGTTATTCAAATTTAAACACTGTTCATTCAGAAAATTCTTGCACAAGTTTTCTTATCTAATGCAACAAATTATCAGTAGATTATTGTGCTGATTTGGAGATGATTTCTAATGAGTTTATTTATTCTCTATATAAATTCAAAACAAAAAGTTTGGAAAAATTTTATTACTAACCTAAACAACCTTTATTTTAAGCAAACAAGTTGGTTTAAGTAGTTAAGTAAGAATTTGTAAGATTAAGTAAGAATTTGTAACTCTGCATTTAAACAAGCAAGGCGATTTAAAATATATGGTTTCACAATGTAGGAAAAAACTAAAAATTAATTTTAAATACATGTGTACCCGAGATTTAAATCTTACTGTATGCATTCTTAATGCTGCCAAACCAAGCTTTTTTAAAATGATTCATAATTTGGTATCCATTTTGAATTATGGTGCTGCAAATTGGCATTAAAACTTTTGCTATTGTATTAAAAGTTAAATAAGTGCAATGTTTAAGTTTTAATAGATTACAATAAAATTAGTTAACCGTGTTTCTCGAATCTCTATCCCCAAAGAAAATAAAAAAGCCATAGTTTAAGTGCCCTACGCTTGAAGCAATGCAATGATATTAAACTATATGTATAATCTTGCCATGACGAATTATCTGGGCTTTAGAACAGACAAATAACTTCAATATTTTGAAAATTATTAAACTTTTTTATAAATTACCAATTTGGCAACATTTTTCGACCTAGATGAAACTTATTAAAATCACTGCCTTATTATCAGTTTTCGCAAATTTTTATGAGCCCAGGTAGTGCAGAATTGGAGTAAGTTTTTTAAATATTAAAAGATTAGACTAAAAACGATTTTCATTTTTACAAAATTGTTGCTTTTCTCCATATTGATGTTTTTCGCTGTTTCCAAAATAAGCGTAGAGAGCCCTGGCTTTAGGCTAAACTTGCTAAACTTTAGGCAGTCATGAGTAACAGTTGCAAACTCGCAGAAGTAACAATCTAAAAAACAGTCTTAAGAAAACTGCTTTAAATTTCGTATTTTAAAACAATTTAGCTTGCATTGTTATAAAATAGTTAAATATATAAACTTAACATGAGTAAATGATTAAATATATATTGTTTTAACACATTATATTGAAACAATAGTAAAAACATTTTAGATACCATTCATTATTAGATTTTGGAATTTCTTTTTACTTTTGAATCTTATTTGCATTGCTTTTACTCCACTCTTTTTAGTTCTTATTTGAATTAAGAACAATACTTCTATTTTGTGTGAATGAAAAAATTAAATACACCCATAAATTTTTTTTCACTTTTTTAATATGAATAAATAAGAAAATATGTTATTTACAGAGTTTTCTATTTTGTATTTTACAACATTTTCATAGTAAAGACTATTGCATATTTCTTTATGGTATTTATTATTTGATGTACGTTTTAAGTTATGTAATGAAATTTTTTATTCGATAACATTATAATCTTTGTACCTTTCCAGTATGGGACTTTAAAAGATATTAGAATTGTAACATATCGTAATGGTCATTCCAAAGGACTGGCATATGTTGAATTCCAAGACGAGGTGAGAAGACTTATTTTCAGTTTATATGGAAGTTAAACCTTTTTATTTCTTATTTATCAGTCAACCACATAATTAAATAA